ATAGAACATCACCGCTGGTGTACCACAGCCGGGGCGGAACTATATATATGGAGTTGATGCAACAGAATCGCGCCATGGAGGGGCGACTATAAGCTAGGCGGGACTCGTCGGAGAGCTTAGTCGAAGCCAGAAATGACAAGCCCGCCGGAGAATGGAAGCGCGTGCGGGATCGGGGGTCACGGGCCACGGCGTAATGCCAATGGGTGATACGGACCAAAACAGTGACAAAGAATTCCGCAGGGAAGAGCTCGACCTCGGATACCACGTGAAGAAATTGACGACGAGGTACGATCGACCCTTAAATTGCGGTTAATGACATGGTCATGTTAAGAATGAAAGCTATTGACGATTACCTTTGCGGTTGAGCTTAGGAATGGTTTCGTTAGTATATATCTTGGTAAATGACAAAGTAGGTAGGAAGAGATGGGTTAATACTTAAGAGCAGAGATATAGGATTTAGGTGGGGATTACTGTGGGAAGTAGATTTAAAGTGTGAAGAAGGGTCCACGTGGTATAAAAATACCCATCCCAGGATTATTACCAAATTATTTAGACAAAATACAGCCAAAATATTCACTTTGTGACAATAATAGTCAATTTTTAAGAAATACACTAAAATAGCCATTCCGTCGATAACTTTAACGGTATGCTGATTGGGCTCGAGATAGGGTGAATAACAATGAGTAACCAAATCTGGACCCTTTTTTTAAGTGACTGCAGATCTAAGAGTGGAGAATTAAAGGAATTTATTTTCCCTAGTTTTCTTAATTGGATCATATTTTCTTCATTCTAACTCGGATTTCAAATTTTTTTTTTTTTTGCACAGATGGAACGAGTTCGTTGTGCTCTACAAAATGATATCCATTTTCAATATTTTTTGAGAAAAAAATTTTCATCCCTCTCGTTACCAACTCCATACCATATGGTATCTCCATCGTTGTTTAGTCATTTTCGGAAATTTTTGCACAAAAGGAACAATTTAATCATGATCTATTGGATTTCAAAATTTTCTGGGGGGAAAAATTTCAAACCCCTCGTTACCAACTTCATACCATACTATACCACCCTTGTATGAGGTGGTATTTTTCATACCATATGGTATTAAATAACAACATATGGTATTGACCGGTATTTTTCATATCATATGGTATGCTGTTATCTAATACCAGTCAATACCATATGGTATTGACTATACCATATGGTATAGACTGGTAATAACTGGCAAAAAAATTTTGTTCCAAAAAATATCAAAGTGGATATCATTTTGAAACCACAATTAATCTGATCTAACAGTGCAAAAAAAATTAAATTCCGAGTTAAAACCATGGACCAGGAAACCGGATCGTACCGGCCGGTTCAACCGGTAAAACCGGAAACCGGACCAGGAACGATACGGTAGGTTGTTTGTGGGAAGAATACCGTGCCGGCCGGTTTTTCTGGCTTAACCGGTACAAAACAAAAAACCGTCCGGTTTTGGTCTAACCGGCAGTAAGCTGTAGGAACAAAAACTACGTCGTTTTGTCACATAAAATAGTAAAAAAAAAATCGACCAAAAACACAAAAACCCTAATCTATCAAAAATCTGGAGCCGTTTTCGTTTCCTGCGTTCTTTTTTCTCCAGCCGGCCAGCGCAACCCCACCCCGCCGCTCCAGCGCAACCGGCGACCCCCGATTGGCGAAAGCAACCCGTGACCCGCCGGCGACCCTCTTTCTTCTCCCTTCCTTCGATCGAGACTAAAACCAGAAAACATAAGGGGGTAAGAACTCTAAAATTCACCCAAATCAAAATCTAACCACAAAAATCAACATGCATGCCTCGAAAAGCCTACCCGCTGCGCGAATCTCTCGAGAGGAGAAGAAGCATATTCAAAGCTTCCTTCCATTATCTTCGTTCTCTGTAGATGGTAAGATAGCCGAGGGCAGGTAGATAAAGAAGGCAAGTGAGAATCATATTGTAAATGTTTGGTGTCCTTTCCCTCTTTATGGTTTGCCTGATTTTCAGAATGAATGAAGAGGAGGAAGGTTGAAATTGAGAAATAGCAGGTGGCGGCCAAAATAATTGAAGGAACTACTAGGGTTAGATTTTTAGTTTGCCAATAATAATGATATACCATGTCTTATTGACTGTTTTAGCCCTAATATGGTTTTAAAACTTCACTTCCTGCCACCTTTCTCTAAAAAATAAAAATGAGAAATCATTATGCAATAAAAGAGTCGCCTGGTGAATAGAAATCATTATGCACTAAGGTTTCTAGGGCTGGGAAAACGGTTGCGGTTTCACAGTTAAACCGATAACCGCACCGAAACCGTGCGGTTATTGGTTAACCGCAAACCGCATATTTTGCCTATTTTGCGGTCGCGGTTGGAGATATGGGCTGTTTTGCGGTTTGCGGTTTAACCGCAACCGAAACCGCAAATCCATATAACCGCAAGGCTAACCGCGACTCAGACCCAGCCCATAGTTGACCCCCAGCCCAGCCCAAAATTGACCCCCAGCCCAGCAGCCCAAACCCGACCCGGCCCCTCCCCCACTTCTCCCTACCGTCGTTTTGATTTGACGAAACGAAAGTCTCTTCGTCCCTTCCCATCTTCCCGTGCCGTCGTCTGATTCTGAAAACCCTAAGCCAAGCCAGCAACTGAAAACCCTTCGAGCTTCGACCCTTCCCATCTTCCCGCTGCGGCGCTACGCCGCTGCCATCCGCCTGCCGCCCCCGGCTTCCTCAAGGCTGCGCCTCTGTTGATGGAAGTGAAAATAGACAAAACAGTAGTTGCTGTGTTTTTTTCCCATGTATTTTTTGCGGTTAATTCGCGGTTAGATTGCTTAACTGCGGTTTCGTATACTATTTCGGTTGTTGCGGTTTTTACCCACAGAAACCGCGTTTCACCGCTAACCGTGTTCTGCGGTTTTTGGTTAACCGCTAACCGTGAGGGACGCAGTCGCGGTTGGCTAATATGAGTGTTTTGTGGTTGCAGTTAACCGCAAATTGCGGTGCAGTTAACCGCAACCGCACCGTTTTCCACCCCTAAAGGTTTCCATGCAATTTAAAGTTTGAACCCAACATCTCAAAATGATGGTAACTTCGATCATGTAGTTAATTTAGTAATGTTGCAGTTTGTTGATTGTTAATTAAATATGCATATTTAGTTTATTCAAATCTGTTATCCGGTATATTCCGGTTTTATTCCAGTATTATTCCAAAACGGTATACTGAATCTGTCGTTACGGTTTTTTAACAAAAAAAAATATTTTTTAATTACAAAAACGGTATTTTGCCGATACACAACGGTTGAACCGCGGTAGTACCACAAAATACCCTACCACTGGAGGATCCGGTATGACTTCCGGTACGGTTTCCTTTACCATGGTTAAAACGAGTGAGAAATCATCCGTTAAAAATTAAGGGAAAGAAAATTGCCTATTTATATATTTTGTACTTCTTTTTTAGTTAAATTAAATATAAATGTTAAAAAGCATCATCACTCCACACACGTTTTCACCTTCCTCCTACTCTCTTTGTACCCCTTCCATCGCCCTCGCCAGAAACCTTCCCTGCCCTCTAGCTCCAGGAAATAAACTCTCCGACACCGCCGCGACGCCGCCGTTTACCCTTCTTAGCACCACGAACATGTATCTCTTTTCGTTGAACCCAAGCCGCTGCACAACTCACCACGGGGGATGGGGAGTTGGTGAATTAATTGGCTCGGGAGACCGGCCCCGCTGTCGGGGAGGGAGATGAAAAGATCGGTAAACCGGCACTGCCGTCGAAGGTCGATTTTTCAGCGATTGTTACGCGAACTCGAACCATAGACACAATCGAAGCGATTCTTATTGGCAGCTGAGGGATTTATCGACATAAAGGTTAGGGTTCCAAGATTGGGGATTTCAAAATTCGCCACCATCAAGACCTTTGGAATGGTCACCCGTCGTTGTTGAATAAGGCTGACGACAACGTCGACCTTCCCCTGTTTCCTCTCGTCGCCAGCTGCCTTCGATGCTACTTGCTCCCGTCGCTCCTTCCCGTCGACTGGGAAGTAGAGGACGTTGTAGTCCTATTGCGCCTCCTTCGGCTAAGGAAGCACAGGGAGAGCGGGAGGGAGAGATTTGCGGAGGTATTTGAGGATAGAGGTGGATATCGGACGCACTGGAAGATGAAAGGTTATCGGGGAAAAGAGATTGAAGGAGGACCGAAGGAGCCGAGACCAATTCCGGCGCCTTGGTCGGGCTCAGAGAATGTGTACAGCGTCGTTGGTTGTATAGCAACGGTTGTGGTAGCTGATGCGGACGACTTCTACGAGAAGAACAAACGACAACGGTTGTGGTAGAAAAAAATGTTTTTTATTTTTATTTTTTGACGTGGCAATTATATGACGATCTGGCGCTGATGTGGCGTCAAAGTCAACTTGCAGTTAACATTTTTAACAGTGTTCTTGACAGTGTGAAAATATTTAATGGAAAGCTAAATTTATTAAAGTAATTTAAAAATGTGGTTATATTAGTGTATTTTTCAAAAATTGGCTATTATTGTCACAAAGTGTATAGTTATGGCTATGGAGATGTATTTTGCCAATTATTTAGCACAGTGTAGAGTTGAAGTCGAGATTTGAGGTTAAGAGATTAACTTGTTTATAGTGGTTGTAGAGATTATATGGAGCTACAGTTGGATGGGTTATCAAAGGACGACGGGTTGAAGATTCATTCAAATAAGGAATATCTAAGGTGAGTGTAAAGGGGTAAATTCTACGACTTATGGTATTTTAGTTTTGAGATTGACCGCTATGTGCTATACTTGCCTTTGTGTGTTTATTTAATGCATGTGATTGCGTGTGATTTATGCTTCTAGTTATACATATTATAATGCGTGTATTATTTAGGCAATATACATCTGTATAGCCAAAACTTTCACGTTTTATTTAGATACTTTCACGTGTGCGCTGAGTAGGAGCCTAATTAGCGAACCGTCAAATAAGTTAACTGTGTTACTAACACCGTTAAAGTATCTAACGGAAATGGCTATATTTGTCCTACAACAACGGCAAAATCTGGTTATAGGCTCCTACTCTCTTTTACTTCCAAACCTCTTCTTCTCCCCCAGCAACTCACCACCATCTTTCTTTTCTATGTCCCCTCCTCCCATCGCCATTAATTGATTGCAGATTATCCACCGGAGCTCGAGTAAATGCCCCGCTGGAGTTTGATGCATCTCCCTCCATCGCTGTCACCGTCTTGCACCAATTTGTTGACCGTTCTGCTTTTGAATTCGTCTCCGGCTTCCTCCATCTCGAAGAGGAAGAAGTGCAGGGAGCCACACGTGGCCCCGCATCTAGTTTTCCGCCACCACCACCACTTCAACAAACCACCAGATCTAGGCGGATTCCGCGATGACCCTTTGCCTTCTCTCGTCAATCTGTAAAATCACCACCCATCATGTCCAATAGCAACCTCGATGACTGTTCTTGGAGAGCAGCAGACCAATAACATGCCAGCATATCTGAACAGATCCGTTCTGGGACGGGAAGCCATGTCACCTAGGATGCAAGCGGATATGCCGACCAGCTCTTCCATCAGAAAATTTAATGGGAATTGGGGATCGACAGCAACTCTTGATCTCCATCATCTTAATAAGATGCCTAGCATCTCAAATCCCTCATCGGCGGGTGGAAGACGAGGAGGAATCTGATCCTCCACCTCCTCCAGTGGTACCGTGCCACTACATCCACTGATGGTGACCTCTTCTCCTCCCCCAATCTGCCTCCTCCCCTGCTCCCATATCCAACTCGTTGTCTCATATCTGCCAATTGCAGCGGATCCGCCCTCCTTCCCTTGATGGCCTTGCCCCCAACCGAGATCAATCGATCACGATTACAACCCAGATCTCGTCCACTATCACTAGCATTAACAAAAGGACGGGAATGAATGTAGAACAAAAAAAGATCTCACGTTTCAAGCTGAATGAAGAAGGAAGGAAGCGAGGAGGAGGAGTCTTGAAGAAGATCGCATAGTCTGCCTCCTCCCCTGCTACTGGATGCGCTAAAAGAAAATGAGTAAGAAATAAAAGAAGATGTACAAGGAAATGGGGGATCGTTGATGGATTAAGGCGGAGAAAGTGAAATGGTTTTTATTTTTATTTTTCATTAGTTGGTTTTGTTTTTTGTTTTTGTTATTGTTTTTTTTTCATTATTCTACATGGCAGTGTTGTTGATGAATGTCGCCAAATCAGCAAAGTCGCTAGTCCAGTCAGCTTGTTAGTTAACACTATTAAAGAATTGGACGGAAATGGCTATAAGTGGTATTTCTCCAAAATTCGCTATTATTGGCAAAAACGCGAAAGTTTTGGCTATACAAATGTATTTTTCCTTTTATTTATAAGTAAGTTGAAGTTTAAGAACATGCTTTCTTTTAAGAAGTACTTCAAACCGTTTTAAGAGTTTTAGTCACTAGTGCCAGTCCGTTGCCATTTGAGATTTTTAGATAAAGAAGCAGTTATGCTCTTGAGACTTGTAAGATGAGCAGCAGTTATGCTCTTGAGATATTTTAAGATGAGCAACAGTTATGCTCTTGAGAATCGTGGAAGAAGAGCCTTCCACGATAAGTTTAAGTTTAAGGAAAGCCTGAAGGGCATCTCATACTTATGAGTTGGCAACCGGACTAGTTAATGAGGGATCTCATTGTCAGTCAAAAGTTTAAGTCAAGATTTGAGCTTTAAGAAGGGAGAGTAAATTTTGCTCTCATACAGTTTTAAGAGTTTTTAAGAGTGGAAGTACAAACAACTTCCACCAATTTAAGTAAGTGTTTTAAGTAAAGTGCTAAGCAGTAGAAAGTTTAAATCGTAAGGGCGTCGACTGACCCCAACTCACTCACCCGTTTGAAGAGGAAGGAGCTAGAAGAGCAGTTAGAGAGCAGCGAGATCGAGAGAAACAGTTCGAGGGAAGCTAGCTAGAGGAGGACGGTATGAGCGTCACAGAGGATGTCTAGTCAGAGTTTCACACAAGCAGCAACACTTGAGACTAGTTAGTTATTGTGTTATGATTATGAGTATAGACTGGCAACCAAGTTGAGTTTTTAAAGTTTGAGTTAAGTTGCCCACGTGTTAGGGCGTTGCTTTGAACTAAAAGGGTGTGTTTTTAGAAATTTATTTATGAAATTTTTTCCCCATTGTAGTTTAACCTTTGAGTGTTTTAATTTTCAAAGATATTTTGGTAAAATTAGTATCCGGCCGGGTTAGGGTGTTACATTAGTAGTGGTGCTAGAAAAGGGTCAATAATAATGCACCGTGCCTTTTAAGATATGATTTACTCTTTGTAGCCCTTAATTTTTTTTTATTTGTAGCCCTAATATATTCAAATTTACATTAAGACCCCTCGGTTAAAAAAACTCAACCTTTCTCTTTCTTGCATGAAATTTTGTCGGCGGTCTCCAGCCACCTCCACCCTCGCCAACAATTATCTCCAGAAACCACCCACTATTGCCAATCACCATCTCCGACCACTAGCCACACCAGCCATCGCACATCCTCGCCTGCCACCGCCCACCCTCGCCGACATAAGTCCACCGCACCGACAACGTATCCAATTTGCTTCCAACCATGGTAGGCGACGTGTTCAATACACGTCCAACCATGGCAAAGCAACATGTGGAATACGCGTCCAGCCATGGACGATTATGTATATTTCACACGTCGTTGGCGATGGTCAATTCGTATTCTGCACGTCGACGGTCACCCACCGACCATATTTTAATTAGGAGCTTCCCTCGTTTGCCTCTTTAGCCATTGTTTTGGATATGATTAGGAGTTTCCCTCGTGGTATGTTTTGAGGGAGGGATGATTTTCGAGCTTCACATCTTATGGACTGTTTGGGTGGTGCTGTTGTGGCTATCTCGGATGATTTGCTAGCCTCTATTAATCAAGTGGTTAATGTTTTCCTTGAGGTTTGATATTCGCAGTCTCTTGGTGAGTACATTGCTAGCGCTCCACTCACGCCACTTGTTAAACTAGGGGGTAATGTCTATCCTATAGCCTTGACAGTGTTTGGAGACGTCTTGTTTCTAAAGTTGGTGCTCGTCTTGTTGGCCCTACTTTGTCTGGTTATTTTGCTGGTCTTAAGTTTGGGGCGGGGTTTCTGGTGGAGGAGGGGCTATTTTGTATGGCTTGAACCGATTCGTTGAAGCCCACAGTGGCAAAGCGTGTGAAAGTGCGCCGCGAAGAGCAGGCGAAGCACGCGGAGGCAGAGAAGGCGCTGCGCGAGAGGGAGGGTGCCCTGATTCGAGAGAGTGACGCCCTGATTGAGGAGAGGAACTCTCTCCGCGAGTCGGTGCACGATTTGGAAGAGGCCAGCAAGAAGCTAAAGAAGTCAGCGGGGAGGAGATCGACGTTGAAGGCTGATATGAAAATTTTTCTTTCTTTTCTCGTCATTTTCCACTGCTCATTTTGTGTAATCCTTAACTCTATTGAGGTATTTAAATTATGTTGGATATGCTTTTTCTTAACCTTTATTTGCGACTGTTTTAGTCTGGTATTTCTCTTACTTTTACTCTTGCCAGTGCATGGGCGCAAAGCGTTAGGGCGCCTTGTAGCGCCTTTCGTTGGGGCGCGATATTGACTAGGGCGCCTTGTAGCGCCTTTGATATGGTCCCTTCCATTTGGGCGCTAACTTGCCCTCTCAAGCCTTCGGCCGAAAGTCGCGTCACAGTACCAAGCTTCCCATGCCAATCTGATGGGGGCGCATCTTGCAATCGTAGTACCTGGCCACTAGCCGCTTCATAGCCTCCAGACGCACAGAGGCAACATCCCTGCGCCCCTCCAACATGTCGAGGTCATGGATGTGCTCCTCCCCGTTGGCATGTGCCTCGTGCCCCACCATCCTATACGTGGGAAAGCGCATCTCTACCGGGATAACCGCTTCACTACCGTAAGTCAGTGCGAATGGTGTCTCCCCCGTCGCCACCTTGTACATCGTTCGATGTGCCCAAAGCACGCCCGGGAGCTCTTCCACCCACCTTCCTTTGGCATCCAGCAGCTTGGTGTGGAGGCCATGTAGGATGCTTTTGTTAGCCGCCTCCGCTTGCCCGTTAGCCTGGGGGTAAGCCACGGACGAGAATCGCAGAACCACTCCGCTTTCGTTGCAGAAAACAATGAATTTTTGGCAGTCGAACTGCTTGCCATGATCCGCTATTATGGACTCCGGTAGACCGAAACGGGTAAAGATATTCCTGGTAGTGAACTTCCTGACTTGGGCCTGAGTGATGGTCGCCAAGGGTTCCGCCTCAATCCACTTGGAGAAATAGTCTACTGCCACGATCAAGTACTTCATTTGCCATGGCGCCTTGGGGAAGGGCCCCAACAAGTCCATCCCCCACTGTGAGTACGGCCATGCGCCCACATTGCCCTGCATGGGCGCCTTGGGGACGTGGGTGTCATGGGCATGAATTTGACATTGGTGGCAGCGGTCAACGTGGCTCTTCGCATCCGCCGTGATGGTGGGTCAGTAATAGCTTTGCCGCAACAGCACCTTCTCTAGACTTCTTGCCCCCGCGTGCATACCACAAGTGCCCTGGTGCACCTTCGATATTGCCTTCTCGCCTTCTTCATGCGTAAGGCACCTTAGGTACGCCCCCGAATGCAACCGCTTGTACAGCTGACCCTCCCGGACTGCGCCTCACTTGCCACGCGTGTTTAGCGTCCTCCGGGACTGTCCCGTGGAGCAGGTATGCCTTGATTGGGGTCATCCAACTTTCCTCGTCTGCCTCTCTCCCTTCTATACTACCTACCCTGCACTCCTCCTGGGGCTGCTCCTTGGATACTATCACGTACCTCTCATTTTCAAAATCTGTAGCGATGACCAATTTTGACAGGGCATCAGCATGAGCATTTTCCTCTCGCGGCACGTGCACTAACTACACCTGCCAGAACCAAGCACTGATCTTCGATCCTCTTTAGGTACACACTCAGCGTCTCTTCCTTTACTTCAAATATACCATTCAGTTGATTCACCACTAAAGCGGATTCGGAATGGACATGAACTCGCTGCGCTCCCAGCTCGCGCGCCGTGCGTAAACCAGCAATGATAGCCTCATACTCCGCGGGTGCTACCAATAGGCTCTTTAGCTGTTCGAACGCCTTGTCGCACTCTTCTGTCCATTTGAACCCTGTGGCCTTCTTCAGAACCCTGAAGAAAGGGGCACCTCTGTCCGCCGACCGAGGGATAAATCGGCCCAACGCCGCCAGGCGCCCGTTTAGAATCTGCACTTCATTGGGCGTTCGTGGAGGTTTGAGGCACATAATCGCCTCCACTTGTCTTGGGTTAGCCTCGATTCCTCTCTTAGTTATCATGAAGCCTAGGAATTTCCCGGCTTCTGCTCCAAACACGCACTTCAATGGGTTGAGGCGTAGAGAGTGGGCGCGCATTGTCTCGAAAGTCTTGCGCAGGTCCTTCAAGTGATCTTCTCTTTTCTTGCTCTTGACCACCAGATCGTCCACATACGCCTCCAGGTTTCGTCCAATCTGCCGCTAGAACACAGTGTTCACAATGCGCTGGTAGGTGGCGCACGCGTTCTTCAGTCCAAACGACATGACTCTGTAGCGGAAGTTACCTAAAGGAGTCATAAAAGCGGTCTTATCACGGTCCTCTTCTCACATGAGGATTTGATGGTATCCTGAAAACATATCTAGGAAGCTCAACACCTCGTGATACGCGGTCGCATCCACCAACTGGTCAATGCATGGCATGGGATAGGCATCCGTGGGGCATGCCCGGTTCAGGTTCGTGTAATCAACACACATCCTCCAGTC